TTCACTAGGACTCGCCGAGTTTCTTCAGACTCGGCGAGTAAGCTTGAAGATTCACTAGGACTCGCGAGTTGTTCTTCAAACTCGGCGAGTAGCTGAAGATCTACTAGGACTCGTCGAGTCGTTCTTCAGACTCGGCGAGTGGAGTCAGGGTGTCTATACTCGCCGAGTTGCCCTTTGCACTCGATGAGTCCGGTCAAGATTGACCGTTGACCTGTATGTAACTTAGTAGGGTCAGTTGTCTTGTTTGATAAGATTCAATAATAAAGGTATGTGGTATTATAGGGAACCTGCGGATTAGCGGATCGAGTGCGAGTAGCTCGAAGGGTTTATAGCTTGCATACTACGAGTAGTCTTCTCACTATACTTCACCTGGAAGGGTTTGACTGCGAGACCGGAAGGTCGTATGTGTTATATTTATGCTATGTCTAGAGAGGTAGATGCTTTATATGTGATGAATGCTTATATGTGATGTATGCTTATACGGGCCGGAAGGCGAGACTTTATGTGATAGAAAGAACGGTATGATGTATGACTTATGTGTTATGTGCGTTATGTTACATACATGTGTTATGTTTTATATATTACTATGGGCCGGAAGGCAAAATACTATGGGCCGGAAGGCAAATTAATAAGGGCCGGAAGGCGATATGTTATGGTCCGGAAGGCGATTATGTTACGGGCCGGAAAGGCAATGTTATGTGGACCGAAAGGTCCGGGCCGGAAGGCGTATGTGGGTAAGTCGTATACTGGGGAACTCACTAAGCATTTATGCTTACTAGTTGTTTTTATGTTTTTCAGGTACTAGTGAAGACCGTGGGAAGGCGCCGGCGTGACACGTACACACTGCCATTGTTGAAGATCTTGGAGATTTATTATTTATACTTTTGAAATAAACTTGGAATAAACTCTTTTGTCGAATAATGATGTTTTGTTTTAAATGAAAAATTTATTTGAAAATTTGAGCTGTTACAATTGGTATCAGAGCCTTGGTTTGAGGGATTCGGGTGTACTTTTGGGTGCAACTGAACTCAGACCGGGGATTTGAGGAAAAACCTTCTTTAAATAATAAGGACACAACATTTTATAAATGGTAAGGCGGTAAAACAAGGATGGAACAGTGTGTACGAGCAGCCAGCGTCCGAACGGTAAAGATCCCCAGAATACCTTACGATTTATGTTATGCACTGAATTATGAATTGTTATGCATGCTAGAAGACTAGGTATACATGATAGGACTAGAATTGCCTGTTTTGTGATGCCTTAGTCTAGGGAGATTGCTTATATGAGATATTTGGTAGCGTGCAAGTAGATAGTGCATACTAGAGTAGAGTCATTATTCGGATTTGGGGAGGAAGATTTGGGACGAATACTGATACGGTGTGGTCGGTAGTATTGGGCCCGTACTACCGAAGGCACCGGATCGGTGGAAGACTCAAGTAAGAATCCCTGGAAATCGGAGACTGGGTAGGGCGCGTATCGAGTACAATTGTACTTGGTGGAGTCTTTGATGATTTTATGTTGTATTTCAGAGACATCATGGTTATCACACGCAATGGGGCGAGTTCGAGCGGTGCGAGTGACGAGGAGATTCGTCAGATTATTCAGGAAGAGGTAGCTGCGGCGGTCCGGGCTGAGATCCCGGAGATGTTTGGGTCTATTAAGACCACGTTGATGGAGGAGTTTGAGGAGCGGTACGCCGCACTTACTGAAGCTGCAGTTGCTGCCGCTACCGCAGCTGTGGCTGCTGCCAGGCCGCAAGGGGGTGATTCATTACTATTCAGGGAATTCAGCAACACGAAACCCCCTGAATTTGATGGGACGCAGGATCCGATTGCAGCTATGAGGTGGATCGCCGACATCGAGGGGTGCTTCTATACTTGCTCATGCCCGGAGCACTTGAGGGTACGGTTCGCCTTGAACCAGCTCCGTCTGGGAGCGAAGGATTGGTGGAAGTTCGTGACGGCGAACTTCACTCAGGCAGAGATTTCGGCGGTGACATGGGAGAGGTTTACGGAGATGTTCAGGGACGAGTACGTTCCCCCGGTAGAGAGGGAGCGATTGATTCAGGAGTTCTTGACCCTTAAGCAGGGTACTGATTCCGTGGCAGTGATCACACGGAAGTTTCATGAGAGGGCAATGTTCTGCCCCGAGCTGGTATCTACGGAGCAGTCGCGGATGAGCCGCTATTTGGGTGTTTTGAAGAGGGAGATCCGGGAGTTTGTGTCAAACTCCACCTATCGTACTTTCACTGAGCTTCAGGCGAACGCCAGGAAGCGCGAGATCGAGTTGGAGACTCAAGCGAGGGAGGAGGC